AATAAATTACCTGCATGCAAGTCCTCTTCTCGGGCTCTGCTTTCAGGGAGAATCAGACCAGGAGATCATGTGCCGCCGTTGGAAAACACCAGCTTTGTGAACTTAGAATGGAAAAGCTATTGTGTGTAAGAAAGTACTGAAGGAAAACAGAATGTGTCCTAAAGCTCTGGGACAGTGTGGCTTTCCTGCACGCTCTTCAGGCTCCATCTTCTTTCTCCAGCTCTTTCACACAGAGCTCTTCTTTCCACAAGACTTCATCTCTCCAATTTTTACTGACGAGTTCCAAATACCGCAGTGGTTCACAGTTCCACCCTTTCCCCCAGACCCTGGGCTCATGCGAGGCCTCTCTCCAGCAGCATCTCACTGTCTGTATTTAAAATGTCTCTCCTTCCCGATTTCTTCTGTGAACATACAACTACTAGACACGAAAATTCAGAATTATTTTCAACCTTCTGTCCTTTTCTCCCACATTCAGTGAGCCAAGGAGTCCTGTGGTTCCTGTAGAGACATTCTAAATGTCTTCACTCCTTTTCACACCCCCTGGCTGTGGCGCCTTCCCCCTCAATTGCTGACACAGCCTGTTCACCAGTCCTGCGATCCTCAGTACCTTTCCCCAGGAACCCTGCCCTACTGTGGTCGGGCACCACCTACATTGTTCATGTTTCTTTGTGTGTGCCTCTGCAGTATGGACAGGCTCATGGGGTCCCTTTGGACAGGCCAAAGGTCCTTGGCTCCTCCTGGGGGCAGACAGAAGGGCCAGTGAAGACCACAACAGCCTGGTTTCCCGGGAGCAAGTTGGGAGATGGACCCCTGGCTTCTCCAGCACTAAGTGGCTGCATTGTTTTCTCTGTAGACTCGGCTGCAAGGGCTACAGCTCAACCTCCTTCCCAAATCAGTCTTTCCTTTACAAACCGCCACGGCTTATGGTCATTCCAAGCATTCCATTTTCATTTTTGACAGTTTTAATTCTTGCAAACTTTTTTGTTACTTCGAACCAAAATCGGTCTTACTCTAACTTTTGCCCACTGGCTCTTGTCCTGCCCCCTGGGCTGTCTCTGCTCTGCCCTGGAGTTACACAAATCAATCCGATCCCTCTTTCATACTGTGGCTTTTCATACTTGAAGCCAGTTCTCCTGTGCTTTTCTCCTACCTAAATGCTTTCAGCTCCTCCAACTCCTTCCTAAAGGACTTGGTTTCCAAGTCTTTCATCATCCCCAGGATTCATTCATTCATCCAATAAATTATTATTGTGCACCTTCTACATGCCAGGTCTTGTTGGGCAATGGGATATAACGTTGAAAAGGACAGACCTGATCTGTTTTCAAGAAGCTTATTTCAGTCTAGGGAGTGCTCGAGTCTATTCTTGTTGCCCTTAAAATGTGATGCCCATAGTGAATGTAATAAATACTTCATACCTAAGACCAGTAACTTGTACAATGGAGCTGTTATGTCCCCTGTTCCCTTCCTGAAACTTGAGTTTCATATTCAATGGAAGTAGAAAAGCACTGGACCCGGCGTCTAATTGCACCTCTGTCACTTAAGGATATAAGCCTCTTTGAGACTTTGAGTCCCATCCATAGGTAGGAGTAAAAATACCTTGCCTATCTCCCTGAATCATTCTGAAGAAAACATGCGTGTACACTCAGCTTCCAGGAGCCCAGGGTAGAAATCAGATCCTCTTGAGATGGTTACTCCAAATCACAATCATCCTGAGCCCCCAGATGAATGCAGGTCCTCAGTCCCACCCCTGCAAAGTCTCCCCCAGGTCTTTCAGGGAGTCCTCAAAAGGGGCCCCTAATTAGTCCCAGCCATTAGTGTGTCCTTCTTCTGCCCTGGTTTCTCTGGCTGAGGTCCAGAGCCCCCAAACCACCAGTAGGAGCCTGGGGACCACCACTGCTAATGGCACAGTGCCTGTGGTGAGGCTGCCAAGCTCCAGACCAGGGGGCTGCTTCTATGCCCTGGAGCCCCCACACTCTGCATGACCCAGCGGTGCTGATTCCGTGTCTAGGAGGAGAAAATGCACCTTCCACTCTCGTCCACTCAGAATCTCCTGCAAGAAACTTTTGGCAAATCTCTGCTCCCTCCTCCCCAAAAACCTAACCAACAAAAACACCAATTTCCATAGGAGTGAGGTTAGGAGTTGCTAGTTCTCCAGTCATTTGCACCCCTGGATTCAGACCTGGCTCAGCCCGGCAGATGATTAACATGCTCAAACCAGAACCGTGAACCTCTGCACGTAGGTGACATGAATGGTGGCTTGCCAGCTTCCCCTAGGACAAGAGTCTAATAGCATATGTCTAATAGTGTAGTCCTAATGACGTGACCACCAATCATTTCATTAAATACTGTGATACAGGGACACGGGGTGGGGGAGTAACTCCTCAGCGATCATGGTTGAAAGTCAACAGGCAGTGTCCAAACCCAAAAAATCAAGAAATAGTAATAGAAGCACATTACTTGGAAAAAGGGAAGTAAATACCAGGAGAAAGGTTATAGAGTTGAGAGCGGCTTCCTCTGGGGAGAGAGCGTAGAGGGTAAAGGATGAGGGCCATTGTTATTTTTCACTACAATGTTTATGTATTTATTCCATTCCACTTCTTAAACTGTGTACATGTATCATTCTGTTAGAAAGAGAGAGGAGATCATTTTATATAAAACATGTCCTCTCAGCTTCTACAAAGCAAGATTCCAAAAATCTGAGGGCCCAATCACAGCCAGAGTAGCCATCAGATATGTGGCCTCGCGTATCGGTCTGCCAGGGCCACCGCAACAGTGCTACAAACTGAGCAGCTTAACGAACAGAGTGTTATTGTCTCACAGGTCTGGAGAAGTCCGAGATCAAGGTGTCAGCACGGCTGGTTCCTTCTGAGGGCTGTGGGGGCGAGTCTGTTCCAGGCCTCTCTCCCAGCTGCTGGAGGTTTGCCAGCAATCTTTGGCTTTCCTCGGCTTTCAGACATATCACCCTGATCCCTTCATGCTGACATGTCTGTGTCCAAATTTCCTGTTTTTATAAGGACACCAGTCAGATCGGATCAGGGCCACTCTGCTCCAGTGTGACCTCATTCTAACAGCTAATTACACCTGAAATGAACCTATTCCCAAAGGTCACTTCTAAGGTACTGGGGGTTAGGACCTCAACATATGAATTAAGAGGGGACACAATTCAGCCCATAACACTGTATTAAAACTGTGAGATGTTACTGTTATGCTTTGAAACAAACTGACTACCTTGCAGGTCCTACGTCTTAGTGTGAACCCTGTCCTCTGACACCTCGACCCATGAGCTCGCTGCCTGCTGCTGCTTACTGAATGTAGCCAAGGTCCCATCTCTCTTTATTTCTCCCTGATCACACACCACTAAAGGCACTCTTGCTCCTCCCCAACAATGATACCAATCACTGCATTGTCCCACTGTGTCATTTGTCCCAATTCCTCTCATTGATCCCTTCTTGGCCATCTGACTCTTCCCTTCTCCTCTTCTCTCTGATTCAGACAACTCCTTTTCAAAAGTGTCTTCTCAGATGGAGTCAGACCAGGAAGTCCCTAACTTTCCCCACGACAAGAATTATAAACTGAATCTCAGCACAAAAGAGCAAAACACTTCCATTCCCACATAGCTGAGTTACACAGCCAAGAGCAGGAGTCCTGACTGGGCCACTGACTAGTGGGGTAATATTGGGTGACTTAACCACCCTGGGACTGCTTCCCCATCTGTAAAGGGGGAATAATAATAGTAATCTACTTCATAGGGTTAAATGACATAAAGCATGTGAAGCCCCTGGCACAGAGCCTAGAGCATAACGGGTATCCAATAAATACCATTTGTTACCATTTCTATTATTCCCCTGTGTCACTTCTTTATACCTTCTTCGATCTCATCGTGTTACAAGCAAAGCCTGGCTGTGCTCAGCCTCCCACCAGCCTTTAACAAAAGAGAGGCCCTCACTGGGGCTCTGCCGTGCACCTCAGTTATAATTCCTTCTGTGCTCCTGCCTCCTCCCCGTCCTGTCCTGCTAACAACCAACTTGGCAGCTCAGCTTAACTGCTGTCCTTCTGAGTCTCCCAGGGCACATCTGTCCACAGGACAGCCCCCACCGCACTGCCTCAGATTATTCCTAGTAGCTCTCTTAACTTAGTGGGGCCTTCAAGAGGACACTCCCCACCCCCAAAGCAGCACTTTTTAAAAAGTAAATGATTTAATAAATAATGTTGACTTGATTGTGAAATTTTAAGACAAAATCAAATTCCCTTATCCATGTTATTAACACGTGCGCACACACACACACTCTCCATTTCATTCTAAAGTCATGAACATCAAAGCACCCAGCTGAGGCCCCAATAGCATGGTTGTGATAATAGTCTTCAGCTGGGAAGGACAGCTCAAGTCTGGGAGCAAATCTCTACGGGAAGACATACTGCATAGTTAGTCAGGGGGCAACCTGTTCAGGACTCCACGCCCAACACCATTGGGAGATGGCTCTAACCAGAGAAAAGCAAAACCCTAAACATTTCTAAAAGAACGCATCAAGGTCTGCTGCCGACGGTTGTTGCAGAACTTGTCACTGCAATGGAGAGAACTTCTGTGTTTCTTATTTGTAATGATAAGTGACTGGAAGAATAGCTCACCTTTCATCGTGCGGTTACCGTGTGCTTACCGTGTGCCAGGCAGGCACCGTGGTGTTTTGCATGGTTTGATTCATCCAATTAACTTTTAATGAAGGCAGTGCTCAAGAAGGCAGGCTTTCAGTCAGCCAGCTGTGTGACCCAGGCCTTGAACTTCTCATCTACAAAGTGGGGATGCTATCTACCTAACAGAGCTGTTGTGAGGATTAAATGAAATAACGTAAGTGGAGCACTTTAGCCCAAGGTTTTCCATTGTAATTTCATAGGCATGGAGAACTGACTGATACATTTGAAAAATATGTACTCTATTAATTTAAAAAAAAAACAGCAGGAAATGGAAAAATTTGAGATTCTTTCCAGAGGATTTCAATCTGCCCTTCACTACATGCTCCTGGTGGAGATGAACTTGAAGTGGCGTTTGATCTGCCGGTCCCGGTAGCCAGTCTCTGCTAAGCCTGGCTCATCCCACATCAAAGGAGACAATAGTGAAGTCAGAGGAAGAAAAGCTGCCCACACTTCAAAGGGAATTCCTCCTCCGGAAGTTGTTACAGCCTTTTAAGGAGAGTAAACAGCAGTACAGCTCACGGGACTCACAGTGAGTTACAGCTACATCCAGCTGGCTTCCACGCTGGGACGTGGGACTTGCCGGGGCCCAAACAGGACACCCGACAATGAAGACGTGTGTAGCGTGTTGGTCCCGATGCCTTCCTATCGCCCCCTAACCCCCACCCCGCCCTGTGCATTAACGAGCAGGCAGGAAGCCCTGTCACAGAGTGGACATCAATAACGTCTGGTCCCCTGCAGGCGGAGTCCCCTCTCTTCCTGTCTGCTCACTGTTAAGTCCACTCGGACAGCCCTGATTCTTGGGCTTCCGCCCCTTGCCTTACACATTTGATGGTTCTGTGTTTGAAAATCACAACCAGAAAAAAAATACCTCTCTTTTAGCGGGGATGGCGGAGATTGTGGGAGAGAAGGGAGCGCTGGTGAAGGAGGTGCCTAAAACGGTCTGCTTCCTCCTCAACAGGTGCTCTGGGCCCAGCATTTGGAGTCCCCTGCCCTGCCCTCCTGCCATGGATTGGCAGGAGGCTAAGCTGGCGGTGGACACGCAGGTCGACAGACCCCTCCCCACCCGTCTATGGCCCAGTTTTTATGGACAGAGAGGGGCAGAGACAGGCTGAAACGGGTTGGGGAGTTTCCTGGCACTCTAACTGGCCACGGAGGCGGCTGATCGGCGCGGACCCTCTTGTGGGCCCTGGGTACCTCAGGTGGGCTCCCTCGGCGCGTTCGTGCTCCCCCGCCCCTCCCCGCGCCCCCCAAGACCCTTAAGCATCCCCCTTGACCCCCGCGCGTTCACACCCTCTCCACACCCTGCTCATCCCCGACCTGCTCGCACCGCCCCCATTCCTGAGTAACCTTTTCCTGCCCCCGCCCGCTCGCACCCCCTAGACCCCTGCACAGCCCCCCAGCCCTGCGCGATAACACCCTCCCGCCCCTGTTCCCCGGGGAGCTCACACTCCCCAGACTCCCACACAGCCCCCCAGCCCCGCGCGTTCACACTCTCTTCGCCCCCTGCGAACATCCGGACCTCCTCGCGCTCACATCTCCAGACCCCCGACCAAAGCCCCGACCCCTGCGCTGTCACACCTCCAACCCTCTGCGCACCCCGTCCCCCACGACGCCCCCTCCCCCCAGCCCTGGAACTCCGAGCGGAGCGGGCGCGGAGACGTGCCGCACGTGCGGCGCGCGGCGATTGGCAGCGCCCGCCCCGCCCGCACCCCCGCGCCCCGCGGAGCTCCCGGCCCGGCCCGGCTCGAGAACCGGCGTCCCGAGCTGCGGCGGCGGCCCGTGGTCCGAGGGGCCGGAGCTCCAGGGGCGCGCAGGCTGGCCCTTGGGGTTCGCCGCCCGGAGCGGCGAGGGGATAATGACAGCCCGGTGGGAAATGGGGGCGGGGGAGTGGAGAAGCCGCTAGAAAGCGCCCCTAACTGCCCTGGTGTTCTCTTGCTCGGTGGTGCTAAAATAAGCTTGCTCTGAGGAACTAGAAATGCTGTTCCTGCGGAGTGAAAATACTTTCTGTAAGTGATGAAAAAATTTTCCACTTTATTCGGTTGTTGACTGGGACCCAGTGTGTTTAAACCTTGGCGTTCTTCAGGAAGGAGCCAGGAAGTTTACTGCATCTTTCGACCTGTATTTCGGGAGCAGAGAAGAGGCGTTAGGAAGGAGCATTTTAACGCAGCTGGTGCGGGGCCTGAGAAAGTGACAAAGGCACAGCTCGCGTGCGTGGCCCTGGGAGGCCCAGATGCTCCGCCTCTGAGTAAAGGACCAGAAAGATGCCCATTAGCCGAGAAGGTTTCCCAAAGGAGGCAATTTGAGCAGAGGTTCTAGGTGCCCGGCCTAGGACTCGGCAGGACTAGGAGAGCGGCCTGGGACAGACAGCGCGGGAAAGAGGACCGCGCCCTCACGGGCTGCTTGGGGACAGGGGGCAGCGAAGGCGCAAGCAGCCCTAAGGGATTCTCGGCTGTGAACCACAGAGGGCTGTCTCTCCTCATCCCAGCAGCAGTCAGCCAATGAAAGATAGACGCAGGGGGATCCCAAACCACTGGAAACCTGCCGGGCTGCGGAGGAATTGCCACTGGAAACATTTGCCACTGGAGACCTGGCCAACAGCATTCTCTTGGGGGCTGCCTTCCCAGAAGCCCCGGACAGGTGTTTATAAAGGACCAAAAATACCAGGAGCGCGTTCATTTACGTATTCATTTGGATTAGAGCGCCTGCCTGCCATTTGTAAGGCGCACGCCCTGTGGCCAATGAGGGGGCAAAGGAAGAAGGGAGGAGGGCAGAGGAAGGAAACGCGCTTCCTGACCTGAGCGTCTCAGAAGCTGGTGAAGGGTTCTCCCGCTGTTCTATGTCCTGGGTCATTTCCCTACTAGAAACGTTAGCGTCTTGTGTACGTAGTGCTTTACAGCGTCCGAATTGCTTTCACATGAACGATTTTATCAGGTAATCACTATAACCTACAAGACAGGCCTTATTACTTGTATTTGACCAGTGGGGGCAGTGAGGCTGTTAGTGATTGCTTTGGGACTGGAACCCAGGTGTCCTAACTGCAAATCCAGGGCCCTTTAAATTCAACAAAGGAAGGAAACCAGGCCTGCTTTATGATTCTGGTGCCCTGGGCACACCCAGCAATTAAAATAAAAACCAGAGGGCTGGGTTAATTTCTTTTTTTTCCTGAGTCATTGCTCTTTCCAATTGTCCCATTGAAACACAGGTTGGCTCTGCTATTAGACACCTATGCATGAGAAGAGATTCCATTGAGTCACCACCAGAAAAGCCAAGAGCAGAGGTAAAACACAATGAGGGGGAGGAGGATGTCTTAGCCACCGTGGATGTCCTCCTTACCCACACCCCTCAGGCCAACTTGAGTCCCATGGCCCTCTCTATCTTCTCTCATATTGGTTGCCAACTGGAGATGCCTCTTCCTGTCCCATCGGCCGGGCTCTGCCTTCCTAAAATAGGATACACCCAAGGGGACCTCTGAAGCCTTCACTTCAGCCACTGCCAGCGTCCCAGCCCTGAGAGAACAAAAACACCCCACCCCTCCCATGGCCATGAGGACATTGCTGAAAAGAGTTCTGCTCCTAGAGGATTTGTCACTCCAGGACTCACTGTGTCTCTGCCATGGTGCCAGATAGTCTCTGGCCTGTTCAGCAAAGTGGATAATCCTTGGTGCTTCCCAAGGCTGAATGTTCATCACAGTCATCTGCTGAGCTTTTTAAAAATGCACGTCGCTGAGCACATCTCCAGGTTGATATCCAGGAGGTCCTGGATGTGTGTTACTTGTTTCGTTTCGTTTTGTTTTGCATACTCTGAAGTGATTCCAATGACCAGCCAGGTTTGCAACCCACAGATGCAGAATGACTTCCATCTGAAAAGTCTGAGATAACTCAAGGGTGAAATTGGTGAATTACTGGTCAAATGAGGAACGTATCATTCAGATTTTCCTACTGCCTAAGAATGTGCAGAATGACAACTCCATTCATAAGAGAGCTCAAGAGGGAACTAAACCCCTCATGGTGGGAAAATTCTGGGTTGAGTAATCTGAGACCTTAGAGGAACATAAGGCTAGGGGACTGAGATTGGGTGGGAACTTAATTTCACTAAGATGAAAGTTAAAAGTCGGTACTCTAAACAGAGATAGGGTCAGCGGCTTACATCTTACATGACTTCTGATCAGTGGATGCTATTTGCTTCATTTCCATTTATCTCGCCTTACTCTCTAGACCTGCACTGTCCATACAGTAGCCACTAGCCACATGTGACTATTGAGCACCTGAAATGTGGCTCATTCAAATTGAGGTGTGCTGTCACTGTAAAAGGCACCCTGGATTCCAAAGACTTGGTAAGGAAACGAATGGGATAGCTCATTAACACCTTTAATACTGATTCCATGTTAAAACAATATTTTGGACCCATTGAGTTAAATCAAATCCGTTATTAAAATTAATTTCACCTGTTTCTTTTTATTTGTTCTAATATGGCTCCTAGAAAATTTAGAATTACATATATGGCTTGTAGGGGCTGAAAACACTCTTGATCTGGGTGACAGAGACATATGTGTATGTGTGTGGGTGCTGAAATTCATCAAACTGTGCCCTTAAGCTTTGTGCACTGTACTGCTGTATGTAAATAAAAATCAGTTGAAAAAATTAAAAAACAAACTAACAATGGCTTCCTGTTGCCTTTAGAGCAAAAGCTAAGCTCCTCTCTTTGGCCACCAAGACCCAGCCCTCTGCTCTACCTCACCGGATCCCATTCTCCCCGTGGCACACTGACCGCCTGCTATTCAAGTGCACCTGGCTCATGCCCACCTGGGGCCATTGGCATTTGCCTTTTCCTCTGCCTGGGAGGTTTCTCCTCCAGATCTTTACTCTCATTTGCCTCAGCTCAAACATCACCTCCTTCTTCCTTGACCATCTATATCGGTTAGGATGTTTTTGGTCAAAAGAAACAAGAAATCCAAATTAACTTAAACATTGAAGGGAATTTATTGGCATGTGGAACTAAGTGGTCCAGAAGCAAATCAGGCTCCAGCCAGGGTATGCTCGGGTCCCTGGATCCTTTTCTCTGTGATTCTCTGGGTGTTCCCCTCTTCGGTGGGTCAGCTTTATGCTCATGCTAACCTCCTGTACATTAGCAAAATGGCTGCAGCAATCCATGGGCTCACATCCATATCCCACCCTGTGCAGAAAGAGACACTTTCTTGCCTTCCAACACTCAAAGGAAAGTCCTGGGCTTCACCTACCCAATCACTTAGCCCAGGAGAACCCCACACACTGATTGGTGTAACCCTGAACCAGTCACTGCTGGAAGGACCCTAATTAGGCTTAAGCAGTTAAAGCCCCAGGCTACCCACATCTCAAGGCTACCATGTATTTGAGGGATGCGGATGGGTGCTGGGGAGGCAGCCAGAAGGGTCTGCTACACCACCCTAGCACCTCAAGTCACTGTTTAGACCAGGGCTCAGCAAACTTTTTCGTTTTATGTAAAGGGCCAAATAGTAGATAATTAGGCTTTGCGTGTCTCTAAAGGGTTTGTTTGGTTTACAATCCTTTAAAGATATAAAAATCATTCTTAGCTCATGGGCCTTACAAAAAAAGGCCAAGAGCTGGATTTGACCCAACGGCCATAGTTTGCCAACCCCTGACCTAGACTGTTATGATGCTTTGGTGTCTAAATTTGCCTTGTTAATTTCTTTCCCCTGACTATAACGTCCTCTCTATGAGAGCAGGACCCATGTCTGGTCTATTTACGCTGTCTTCTTAACACCTAAAACAGTGCTGGGCACTTAGTAGATGCTAATAAGTACTCACTGGATGAATGACAATGGCAGAGCACATCAGGACCCAGAGCTGAGCTCTGACCTGGGTTTTTCTGCCCTCCCTATCTAGGGGACACAGCTGTCCCCATATTGACCAACACAGAAATGGGCAGGGCTGCTGATGCTGCCGCCCATCCACAAGGTGTCTTTATGCAAATCGGGAAAAGGTAATCCCCTCTGGCTGATGCAGCCCAGCCCCCAGGACCACCATGAGTAGGTGAGGACTGGATTGCAGCCCCCACCTGCCGCCTTGGAGGGTGTCATGGGGTAGGACACTTCCTGCACGATTGTGTACGTGGCTCTGGGGTGGGGTTCTGAGTTGGAGTTCTAAGATCTCACCTTCCTTTTTGTTCCCACACCTCGAGGGCAAAATCGTCTGCTTCTGCTCTGCCCGCTGCTTTCACTCTCTTTTCTTTCACCAGCTCCAAATCCCTTCTTTTTCCATTCCTCTTCAACCAAATAGCTGTAATTTGCATGTATTGAACTGAAATTCTCATGTGGTCCTTGGAAATGCACCTGAGTGTAATAGAATGTGGCATTGGGGAATTTGTGTTTGGGGAGAGACTTCTGTCCTATGTGCTTATAACACCTCAAGAAAGACAGTGGGAAACTAGAGAAAGGGCCAGCCAAAGTTGTCAAGGAAATAGGGAAGCTGCCATAAAAATACAGAGTAAATATGTTGAGGGTTGTTCCATCTGGAAAGATAAAGGCTAGGAAGGAATAACATCTGTTTGATCACGAATGTTATGGTTAGGGTAGTCATGAACTCCTTTGCCAAATCCTGAACTAGAACCAGAGGGCTCTGTTTAAAGCTTGAGAGAATTATTCAGGAATAACAGAAGAAAATCCAGCTTCACCTGGTGGGTACGAAGCTCCTGGAACTCATTACCCCAAGCAGAGTGATGGAAATTCCAGCAAGTCAGGCTGGAAATAAAAATGCCCAGAAACGCCCTGGAAGACTTTGCTGTTGATAAATCATGACCATTTAGTAAGGGGACTGAGAATGTCTTGGGATATCAAGATGTGCTCTTGGAGGTCGCTGGCAGGGAGCTAAACTGGTTGTTCACAGCGCTTCCCTTCATGTCTCTGGCGAGATAGAGTTCTGAGCAGGGCAAGACCAGAAGCTGAGGTCCCCACACGCCCTGGGCAGCCTGGACCATTGCGTTGCTCAGGGGAGGGGGCCTCATAAATGAAAGAGTGACTTTCCCAACGTAAGTTTCCTTAGACCAGCTATAATCTGTTGCTGGGAATCTGGGGGTCACTAAGATAATAAAATGATGTTTATGGAAACTTTACATAAATGTCTACTCTACCCAATGGGAACTCATCTGTTGTCATTACAATAGCTATCATACTGTGTGCTGTTATAAGCACTTACTCGTTTAATCCTTATAACAACACTGTAAGATGAGTACTATTATTTCATCGTCCTATTTGACAGATGGGAAAACTGAGGCACAGAGAAATAACTTTTTCAAGGTCCCACAGCTAGTAAGTGATCCAGGATTCAAACTCAGGCTGACTGACTCTGGAGTACATAATTAGTACTTCCCCATAAAACCGGGGTCAAGGCCACTCCTACAATTCTGCTGAGGGAGATACTGCTCAGCTCCAGTCAAGTGTTGCCATGAAGGAGTGCAGGCCCATTGTCGCTGTATCCATTTTTTCAAGAAAAGTCATGAAGGTCAACACTGGGTTCTAGATGGAACAAATGCAGCTAAATCTAGCCTGAAGTCAGCCGGCTCCTGACTTCTGCTCTCCCCATACCACCCTTCCAGCGACATGTCTTATGGACAGGATGCTGTCATCCATGCACAATACAAGTTACTAGTCCTGGGCTCTGGGCAAAGCAGAGACCAGCAGGACATACATACGGAAGGACCTCATGAGGCAAAGGCTCAACCAGCCAGTGCTCCTGGGAGGAAGACAGGGCTGGCAAGGAGGCCAGGCCGCAAGAGGATCTTGGTTCAGCTTCCTGTTCCCTCCCCAGAGCTGGGGAGCACCCAGGAGAGCAAGGTCCGCCCAGCCCCTGGGAGCAGGAAGTGGGAGAGAAGGCCACACCTGGGCACACGACCCTTAATCGCACAGGAGCCCCACCCCTCATAAATGTGGCTGAGCCAGCGTCCTGGATGCTGACCAAACAGAGTACAGCAGCTCCCTGGAGGGAGGCCAGCAGAGGGGCGGAGGCTTCCTCTCCCCCACGGAACACAGTCTCTAATCCTCACAATTTCCCTTTTCACAGATGAGGAAACTGAAACACATGCTGAACAGGGATAAGGAATTCGGTCACGGTCACATAACTGGTAAGTTTCAGAGCTGGGCTTTGACCCTGAGGCGGATGCTGTGGCCTCTGCCCAGGTTCCCCTTCAGGACTGATGACAGTTTATAGCCAGTCCCTTCCCAGGAATAGCCCTGCCTGAAGGGAGCTGCCTCATCCAACATCCAACACTAGCCCCTTCCTGGGGGCAGCCCAAATTCAGCTCAACCATGTGGATTGAAATCCCCACCCTGGCCTCAGATCGGGAGGACTCTGAAGGGCCCTCCTGTCTTCAGAGCTCCTCATGGGGTCGAGGCCCGGGCTGCATTGCATTTCAGCATCTCCCTCTGCCCAGTCCTGCTTCCCTCGCTCTCACAGCTGCTGCTGCTGAGCATACTCCAATAAACTCTCCACACAGAAATCTCCCTCTTAGAGCTGGCTCTGGGGCATCCTGCCTATGACACCTGCACTCCCCACCCTTATGAAACGCTGCCTCCCGCCCGACCTTGCACTTGCCAGGATGCAAAAACTAAGACTCCAAACAGCGGAGGGGGAGACAGCCCAGAGGTGAACAACAGCAGGAAGTCACCGCCACTGCCAGCCTGGAGGGGTGGAGGGGTGCGGTGTTACCTGAGCCCAGGGATCACCCAGCACAGGCTGGAACCACAGTGTGTCCCAGCAGATCTCTGTGGGAGAAACAAAAGCCCTGACTGGAGACCTCCTGAAGGCAGGAGTGGGTGGGTCAGCCCTGGCTTCTCCCTTCCTTCCTGCTTGAATTTTATGACTATAGACTACTTATAAGCACAAGGAGTTTATACATAGGCTTAAATTTGCACATATTTAGGTAATATTAAAAATGAAAAAGTTTAAGTCAGTTCAGGGTGCATGAGAAGCATTTCTGTAGAATGATAAGGCCCAGCCCCTGCCATCCACACCGGTGAGGTCCAGAGTTTCGATTGCTTTGATCCCTTCTGGGTTGGGGATGGGTAGCCTAAAACAGCCCTGAGAGCCAGAGGATCCTAGAGCCAGAAAGGGTGCTCGAGGTTTTCTTGTTCACCCGCATTCTACCCTGGCCCGAAAGCTCTTTAGCAAAACTTGGACAACTCATCCTTTGGAGGGGCCCCATAACTGTGGATTTTTGGGGGATGATCACTCCTGGGGATTAGTGTCACCTTTGTAATCTCAACCTAGATGGGTGCTTGTGTTTGTGCTTATGTGTGTGTGTGTTTGTAGTCTCCACCTTTGTAGTTCATGTGAGAATGGTTGTCTGTGTGTATCTTTTAAACTTTAGAGGAATCATTGGCATTGATAATAGATAGAATGTGAATATATTTGATTTGTTTACATAGGGAGGGAAAGCTCCTCTGGCCTGTCCCCAGGGAAGGGAAACAGGATCCAGCGGAGAGATGAGGACCCAGAAGCCTCACCTGTTCCTGTTCCGAGGCGGCAGGCCCAGCCCTGGAAACAGGCTCTGAGCAGCTGCCATCCCAGTTTCCTGTTTTCCATGGGCTGGGACCTGGACAGAAGGCACATCTGCTTCTGTTTATTCTTCCTCTTTATCTTACTGGGTCCCCACCTATCTCTCCCTGGAATACCCCTCACCACCCTTGGGTACTCAGCTACCTTGCCCTGACCTGGGCAAAGACCCAAGGAGGGAGAGGGTGGGAGAGGACAGGCCCGAGACTTGGGTTAAGGCTCCTTACTAAACACGGCCCCAGGCTTAACTGGACCCTAAGGTCAAGGTGGAAAAGGAGAAAATGGGGAAAAGTCCAGCAACTCTCCTCCTAAGAAGGAAAGCAGAAAGCTGGCAGGTTGCGAGGAGCGACCTTCGCTCTAAGTGAATGTAATTACAGTTAAATTTCAGATTACACCTAGGCTCTTAACTACAACTGGAAATTCCTGTTGGGAGGAGGAAGTTTTCTCTCATCAAGAGTTAATAGAGTCACCCGTCCTTGAACCCGGAACAGTCAGTTTTGTACAGGAAGAACTTTACTCAGATGGGGCCTCTGCGATCGCATAGGGCACCTTTGGGCAGATTAGAAACAGGGACCCCTTCCTCCCAGCAGTCACAGCCCTTGACTTGGCAAGTTCCCCCTTCACTAGCACCCTGGGACGGCGATGAGAACCAGGACACAATTACATACTTATAGCAGCTCTCCCTCTCTTCCCCCAGCCACCCCTCTCGTTAACCTGGCCAGCTTAGGCTCTGAATAGACCACCTGAGAAGCAGAGAAAAATGCTTGTAGCTATGAGAAGCTTGAAAGGCTTTTAACATTAACTTGGTCCAAAGTCCCTGCTCCAATTCATTCCATGATAAGGCTCCTGGTTGAGTTGTAAGAAAGCTTTCTAATCACATTCCAGGCTGACACAAGGTTATCCTAAACTGTGATTATTGGCAATTTAGAATTAAGGAGAAAGGTACCAGATTTCTCAACGATTTCTTTCTTTAAATTTTGCTTAATGCCTATCATCTTAAAGCATGGCTTTTGTTCTTTTTAAAAAAAAAATTGTAGACATTATAAAGTTCAGTTCTCTTAAGGAGTTTTCTCTTTTTCTAGCAAAAGTGGCAATTGAGCACGGTGGTTGCAAGCTTGATTTTGGAGTCAGAATGATCTGATCCAATTTTAACTCCTCCACTTGCTAGCTGAGTGGCCTTGTGCAATTTACTTAACTTCTCCACACCCTGGTTTCTTCATCCGTGAAATGCGGATAAGTAAGCGTATCTGCCTTAAAGAATTAGTATGTGACGTAAATGAAGTGATGCACAGGAACAGTGGCACAGTGCCTGGCACACAACATCTAATGAACATTAGCGACTATTAAGCTTATTTTAAGTGGATAAAACTAAAGCAACCTCTAAATACAGGTGTAACCTGTATTTATGGGTAATTGAGAAGGGTGACCATGTTTTCCGTCCCTTGGAGAAATGGCTGATCCCAAGTCTGGGGCAGGAAAGTGAGCCTGGGACATCAGACAGTGCCAGAAGATGAGGAAGTATTCAAAGACATAGGATCTAGCTGGAAGTAAGTCTTACTGGCCAAATTTGGAACAATTTTAGCATCAAAATGAATAATAACTCAGGCTGGCCTGGTGGTGCAGCGGTTAAGTTCACACGTTCCTCTTCAGTGGCCCAGGGTTCGCCGGTTCAGATTCCAGGTGTGGACTACACACTGCTTGTCAAGCCATGCTGTGGCAGGCGTCCCACATATAAAGTAGAGGAAGATGGGCATGGATGTTAGCTCAAGGCCAGTCTTCCTCAGCAAAAAGAGGAGGATTGGAAGCAGATGTTAGCTCAGGGCTAATCTTCCTCAAAAAAAAAAAAAAAGAATAATGACTCTACAGATATGTGTTGCTTAATGACAGGGATACGTTCTGAAAAATGCATTGTTAGGCAATTTTGTTGCTGTGTGAACATCATAGAATGTGCTTACACAAACCTACATGGTATAGCCTACTACACTCCTAGGCTACATGGTACTAATATTATGGGACCACCACCGTATATGTGATCTGTCGTTATGTGGCATGTGACTGTAATTAGTAACACAATGAATAAGATAAAATCCACGTGTCCATAGTGATATTCAAAATAAGAGGGAAAGGAAAGGAAATATCAGCTAATAAAAATGGGAGAAATGATAGAAATTAGAAATCACTATTCTGCAGCCCCCAATAAAATAAGTGATTTAGGCAAAGATTATCAATAGAACCATTGGATGAAAGAGTAAGAGAGAGTAAGATATTCACATGAGGTTAAAGTATCACGTGCAGATGACTTTCAAATTATCGCAGGGAAAAACTCCCCCTCAATGGAATGATCTGGTGATCACCCTATTAACCAAGCAATCGAACTGAGCATCGCTAATAGTGCAACATTTATGTATCTTCTGAGGTGATATAATCCAAAATACTCAATACCACCTATGAATTATTCCTGCCAAAAGTGATTAATATGAATCTAATCAAGCCTCATGACCCACGTTCTAGTTAACAGGAAATATGGGGATAGAGGCACTAGTTAAATTTCACCAAGAGGACTCAAATAGACAAGTTCACAGTGTGAAACACACGGCAAGACAACTGTCTGCTCTCTCCTTGACCAGACTTTAGTCAGGCTCATTTGAACCCTCTTTTGACTAGGTCTCAACCTTGGTCCCCAGCCTGTCTTGGGCCTTCCCAGGCCAGTGTTAGCAAGAATCCTGCTAAATCATCCCTCCACCCTTGATATCTGATCGCCCCTGATACCTGATCAAGTTCCTCATACCCCGCTCTTGATGTCTAAGCCCTTGACCTGTCTTTAGCAAGAATCCTATTGGGGCAGTTTGGCAAGAGTCTCCCTACCCTTGATGTCTCCTCTTAGTACTTTTCTATCCCCTGACCCCCTCAGCCTGCTCTTTGCCTCTAAATCCCCACTTGTCCTTGTTGTATTCAGTGTTCAGCCTGATCTCTCTCCACTGTTGCAATAATCTTGAATAAAGTCTCCCCTATCATTTGAGAATATTTTTTCTTTAACACCTGGACTCTTCAAAAAGTTAATGTCATTTAAAAAAAGGTGGATTACTTTAGTATAAAAGAAAGTAGAGAGACGTAACAATCAAACGAATATGAAATATCTTGATTGGATCATGACCAAAATGAAAAAAAAATCTACAAAAGATATTTTGAGGACAATTAGATCCCTTTGATCATGGATTGGATATTATAGAATTATCGTTAATTTTCTTAGGTGTGATAATGATATTGGTTATGAGAAGAATGTCCTTACTCCTATGAAATACATGCATGTTGGTAACACCTGTATTTAGAGGTTGCTTTAGTTTTCTAGAACTAATGTAACAAATTACCACAAACTGGTAGTTTACAACAACAGAAATCTATCCTCTCACAGTCTGGAGGCTGGAAGTCTGAAATCAAGGTGCCAGCAGGGCCCCGCTCTGTCTGAAGGCTCTAGGGGAAGACGGTTCCTCGCTTCTTCCCAGCTTCTGGTGGTTATTGGCAATCTTTGGTGTTCCTTGGCTTGTGACAGCATTAACTCCAGCCTCTGCCTCCATCGTCACATGACCTTCCCTGTGTGTCTCTCCATGACTTCAAATCTCTCTCTCCTTATTAAGACACCAGTTGCTGTATTTAGGGCCCACCCTAATCCAGTATGCTCTAATGTTAACTTGATTACATCTGCAAAGACCCTATTTATAAATAAGGTCACATTCAGCGGTATCAGGGGTTAGGACTTCAAACTATATTTTGGGGGAACATAATTCAACCCACAGCAAGAGTGAAATGTCAGGATGTCTGAAATTTACTTTAAGATGTTTCAGCAAAAATGTCTCTGGCACCATCTTCCGCCTTCCCTCTTGCACCATCTTCACCTCCTCTAGACACTCAGTTCACTGAACTTGCCCTTTTCCCTCGTCCTCTCCCCAGGCCTCTTCCTCTGAATGGATCAGAATGTGTTCCTTTAAATTTAAGCCTTCTGAGGATCCAAAGGCTAAACCCTTAATTTCTTATACTTCTTGGATTAAACATGAAGGCGAGCCATTGTCAAAGATTTTCCCAAAGTAACCGAACATGCTCACAGATTTGCTGAAGCATTTAATATCGTCACTCAAAGTTATCAACCTGGTTTCTCTGACTTCTATCAGCTAGTTCATATGCTTGTGGGTGAAGGCCAGGCCCAGCATTGGCTGAAAACTGCAAATTGTGAAAATCCTGAAAGGTCTCTAGAATTAAAAGCAGGATGCCAACCTGCTAACCTGCCGTATGATTAGGCTCGGACAATCGCTAGGTGACTTCATCCAGTAATTCTTGGGTTTTCCCAAAGCCTGTTGATTGGAACAAAATTCAATCTCGTGCACAAAAACCTGATGAACCTGTTTGTGACTATTACAATCAACCTCAGATTGTTTTTAAAGAAAATACTGTTCTTCCTTCAGAGGTTGATTCCACCCAGGGAAATTTTAACTCTATTAATGGGCTGATCTAGGAGCTTTCCCTTCCAGGAAAAAGGACCGGGATGGAATGGGAAACTGTCCACTCCAGATTTAGTTGGCAAACCAACTCTCTCACACTCTAGATGAGTTACCTAAAAGAAAGACTTAAAATTATTAGTCTTCAACTCCAGCAAATGAAGGCCCCTAAGTGAAACCAAAAACCTCCTAGTTTCTGTTATTACTGCAAAGAGCCAGGACATTGGAAAGGAGATTGTTACAAACGCAAGTGCTTCAGGTGCTTTCAGCCCTCTAAGGGGCCTCTCCAGTGTCCTCAATGATGGGCTCTGAGGAAGTGCAGGGGCTCTTCCCAGCCCTCCCTCTCAACTGGCTTAGAGAAGCCTTTCTCCAGATGGAGATGAATCTCTTTCTGTCCTGACACTGGAGCCACACTCCTGGTGCTCAACCCCACTACGTAAAACAGCCCTTCCTTGAAGTCCTACGACAGTTCAAATAGTGGGGGTTTCTAACAAACCTCAAAAGGCTCCTGTCTCTGAACCTGTTCCCTTTGGTTTAGGCCCTTTGAGAGACTCATATCCTCGTCTCCTTAGTTCCTCCACCCCTATTCTTTCATTAGGCCAAGATTTCTTGGAAAAGTATCATGCCAGAATTCCTTTCTCCCGAAAGGGGGAAATAATTCTGGAATTTGATAGTAGCCATCGAAACAGCCAACCAGAAGTATTAAATGATCCTTTGACATCTTTTATTTGCTCCATCTCTGACGGTTCTAGAGCTGATGCTGGAAACACTAACCGTATTGAATCAGCTACCACCCTCCTTATAGGAAAATCTTCAACTGATATTGATAAAATTCACAGCGCATCTCCCATCAAGATTCAAATAAATTCCTCAAAACCTCTGCCAGGGATTAATCAATATCCTATAAGAAGCCCTTCAAAGTATAAAGCCCATAACAGAGGATCACAAGGTTCAAGGCCTCATTCTCCCTTGTACTAGTCCCTGTAATACTCCTATTTTACCTGTGAGAAAACCCAAGGGCTAAAGGTGAAGGTTTACTCAGGACCTCTGAGCAGCAAACAACATTATTATCCCTCGACACCTCATTGTACACGTGACTAACATCCATCCCCACTGGAAGCAAATTCTTGACTGTGATTGATTTATGCAGTGCATTCTTTGGTGTTCCAGTTGATGAAGGCAGCCAATACCTTTTTGTTTTCACTGGGGAAGGAAAACAAGTCACCTGACAGCAATGCCTCAGGGTTTTATTGAGACCCCGTTCTTACTTCTCACAAATCCTGAAGGCTGATCTGGATGATGTAAAGCTCCCTACAGGTTCTACTTTACTGCAACATGTGGGCGATTTGCTTCTTTGCACTCCCTCTCGAGCCTCCTCACAGGAAGACAGCATCCACTTGCTACAGCTTTTAGTCTTAAAGGGACACGAAGTGGCCAGGGAAAAATGGCAGTTTGCCCAAACCCAGATTCGATATTTAGGGCATCTTATATCAGAACAAGGGCTACCCCTAGATCCAGATAGGCTTCATCGTGTCCTCAGTTTCCCCAAACCCAAAACTAAGTGTCAACTGCAAGGTTTTCTTGGGCTAGTTGGTTATTGCCAAAATTGGATTCCAAATTTCTCTCTATGGCCACACTTCTGTATGTTTTATTAAAGAACAACAACTCTGACTCAACTTTATGGGAAGAACAGATGACATAGCCTTTAAGGCCTTAAAGGAAAGTTAGATGACACCTGCCCTTGGACATCCCAACTATCCGATTCCCTCTTTTCTTCTCGTATATGAAAAGGAAGGGAATGCCCTTGGGGTACTCACCCAAACACGGGACCACCGTCGACCCACAGGGTATTCTAGCCAGCAGCTGGACCCTGTGGCACAGGGATACCCTCTTGCCTTAGAGCCATTACTGCCCCTGCCCTTTTGGTCAAGGCCAATGAGAAAATCATTATGGGATCCCCTTTAACCATTTTTGTACCTCATTCAATAGAAGCCCTGCTGAATTCTCATTACACTCAATTTTTCAGTCAGCCGCCTCCCCTCCTATGATATCCTTTTGTTAACCGCTCCTCACATAACTGCTTTATGTTGTAATAAGCTTAACCCTGCTACTCTTCTCCCTTCTGTTACTGACGAAGTCCCTCACGGCTGCTCAGTGCTGACGAATCGCCTCCTCAGAACGATCTGCAGAAAACTCCTTTGGGTAACACTGGCTTCTTATGGTTCACTGATGGTTCCTATTGGAAAGGTGACGAAGGCAAATACTGTGCTGGGCACACTGTTGACTCTCCTTTTGATGTCATTGAGGCAGCAGTTTTACTTATGGCTACTTTGGCCCAACAGGCTGAACGATATACTCTTACATAGGTTTGTACTTTAGCAAAACTGCCAATATTTATACTGATAGTAGATATGCTTTCAGAGTAGCTCATGATTTTGGAATATTGTGGAAGCAACGTGGCTTCCTTACTTCTAGGGGAAATAAAATTTAAAATGGCCCCTATGTTCAGGAATAATTGGATGCTATGCTTTTACCTGCTGCTTTAGTTATTACTAAATTGTAATTGTAAACTTGACTCTCTGGAAGATAAAGGAAATCACCTTGCTGACACTTCCACAAGAAATGTAGCCCTTAAAGGGACCAACAATAGCCAAACTGCTGTCATTTCCCCAAATGATAACTTAGAAAAACTGGTTAGAGAAGCTCAACAATTGGCCTCAAAAAAGGAAAAGCAAGATTGGAAATTCAACAGTTTTTGGTTTGATTAAAAAAAAAAAAGCTCTGGTTCAGACCAAATAACAACTCAGACCTACCAAGAGTCTAAAATTCCCACTCCTAACCACTGTGCCTGCATTAAACCATTAGACTACTGACAAAATGATAGCATTCATGAATCAATACTGCCCGGGAAACATTAATAAGGCCACAAAAAGTGCCTATCTCACTTGTCCCACTCGTCCAAAATACAGCACAGGGAAGCCTGTTCATATTGCTTCTGAACAATTTAAACTGCCTAACAGACCATGCAAGGTTTGGCAAATGGATTTTAGACAAGTTCCCCCATCTCGTGGATATAAATATGTTTCAGTCATGGTCTGTGTGTTTTCTCAGTGGACTGAAGCCTTCCCTTGCAGACAGGCTACTGCCTCCTCTGTGGTGAAAGGCCTTTTGGAAAGGGTTATCCCTACCCGAGGAACTCCTCTGGAGCTTCATAGCGGTCAAGGAACCCATTTTACTGGTCAGGTAATTTGACAAGTCTGCGTTGTTTGGCCAGTCTTACAACGTTCCCACTGTGCTTGCTACACAATCCTCTGATCTAGTTGGATGCACTAATTGCGTTATTAAGACTCAGTTGGCAAAACGTGTAGAGACCCTCCAAATACCTCAGCCAAAAGCATTGCTGTTGGTCCTTCTAAATCTCAGAACCTCTTCCTTTGGAACTCATAGACTCTCACCCTTTGAGGTAGTCACAGGACACCCAATGCACTTGGCTCCTGCCTCTTTTGACCCACAGCTGAAAAAAGGAGGTATATTTCAATACTGCAAAGACCTAATTGCTTCTATTAAAACTAACCATGTTTTGGTAGAGCAGTCCTTTCACAGTGCGCTCCAGGAAGATGAAGATCCTCAGCATCACACCTTACAACCTGGAGATTTCATCTATCAGAAAAGACCCCTCCAGAAGGATGCTCTTCAATCTCACTGGAAAGACACTATCAGGTACTATAACTAATCCTGGTGCCACCAAACTCCAGGGAATAGACTCTTGGATTCACGTGACTCGCCTGAAGGCAGCACCCAACCCTGACTGGACCTGTACATCATCTGGGGACTTAAAAAAGATTTCCCGAATTGAAGCAGATGACATCTGATGAGACAGCTTTCCCAAGATGTCCAGACCATGCCTGTTAGAAGGTTGGTGGCAAACTTTTGATGATGACGTAACACTTCAGATGATCTCCCGTGCCCATGATCTTGATAACATGTGGAAGGACTTCAGATAAAAAGTCCTGACAGTTCTTCCTTCTACCCCTCCTTGTTACTCAAATGGGACCTCCATAGGTTTCCAATCTATGCACTTTCCCTCTGACACGGGACACAACACCCAGGAAAAAGTCCTTCCTGGCTTCGAGAGACAAAAGCCTTTTGAAACCAAAAATATCTGACTCTTGCTCAACAATGCTTTCAGAAAAAGATCTTGATCAAAAGGGGAAAATGTGGAAATTAATAAACAGAAACCTCATTAAAATGGAGTCAGGAGGTCAAAAGGGGGAGCTCTCATGCCCTACTTGATAGCAGAGCCCAACAAGAAGAAGAAAGATTTCCTCTTCTTGATCACCAAGAAGTTCAGCCAATTAGAGACTGTCACAGCTCAGCCAATAAAAAAAACACTACAGGGGCCGGCCTGTGGCTGAGTGGTTAATTTCCCATGCTCCACCTCGGCGGCCCAGGGTTTTGCTGGTTTGGATCCTGGGTGTGGACATGGCATCACTCGTCAGGCCATATTGAGGTAGCGTCCAACGCGCCATAACTAGAAAGACCCCCAACTAAAATATACAACTATGTACCAGGGGGCTTTGGGGAGAAAAAGAAAAAATAAAATCTTTAAAAAGAACAAAAAAACCTACTACACTTTGAGCTCCCTCCAATGGACCCTTTGTTTACAACAGCCCCCCCAACTTCCTCCTCCCCTTTATGAAAGACTTCCTCCTCCCTTTGCTGCTGGGCCCTGGAGCCTGGCTTGCCATGGCTGCAGACCTCAAATTGCAATTCTTTGCTGATCCTGAATAAACTCATTTTTGCTGGAGAAATAATTGGCTGTCTATTTGTTTAAGGTCAACAATGTGTTCTTTTGAGAGCATAAATTTATATAAAATTAAATCAACCAACACAACACACACATACACACACTCACACAAAGATGGCAAGTGTGTCAGTGAACACCAATCAATGTAACAATGTCTAACAATTTAGTGTTAGTTATATATTTCACAATAGGGAAATATATCCGAAGTAAATTTAGTTCTCTTAAACATCAATAGGCTTCAGCTAGGATTTTTTTTTTTTTCCTGCTGAGGAAGATTCTCCCTGAGCTAACATCTGTTGCCAATCTTCCTCTTTTTGCTTGAAGAAGATTTGCCCTGAGCTAACATCTGTGCCAATCTTCCTCTATTTTGTATGTGAGACACCACCACAGCATGGCCACCAACAGGAGGTGTAGGTCCGCACCCAGAAACCAAACCCAGGCCACCAAAAAGGAGCAGGCCAAACTTAACCACTAGGCCACAGGTCCAGCCCTGAGCTAGGATTTTTTGATCCCTTTCTCTGCTCTTATCTCTCTTGTGAATGTACGCTTTTTTTTTTTAAGTCTCTTTACTCACATTTTAGTGGGGTTTTGGGACTAGGCCAAGGCATATGCACATGTTCAATCTGCTGTGTTTAATGAGAAGTCCTCAGAACTCACAGCTTTCAACTCGTTTTATTGAAGTAGGCTTCCTCATGTGAACCCAGTTCCGATTTTGAAATGGAAGTCAAGGAGGAATATGACTTGATTCACATAGTTTGAAGACTATTTTCTAAAAATGCTTTTGGCCTGTGTGGTTAAGTCTGAATGATCAGTCTAAGTATAATTGTCTGGGCATCATGTGTGGACTGTGTATTCACAGCTCAAACCCAAAGCCTCAGCCTCATCCCTTCTGATGAAACACCAGTTCTCGTGAACAGAAGGTTCCTCTTCTCTCACCCTGGAATAAACAGGAAGGTCTCTTGGGGCTGTGGCCTTAGGGCTATAGCCCTGCCCCTAATTTCTTCAGACTCTTTACTCGAATTGAGTCATTGCAACATCACACTCAGCCAGCTGTCTCAGCACAAGAAAAGCTTTGCTGTGGTATGAGGTTTTGTGGGCTGCAAGCTACATCTAGGTCAGCAAATTAAACTCCACAGTGTGGTTACTGAGTCCAGCTTCATCTAGCTAAAGGGCTGTCTGATTTCACCCCCTGGGCATTGGCTCTCTGGTGCTTGGGATACAAGGCCCCTCTGCGGGTGTTGAAGGCACAACACTTTAGGCCTAAACCACTGGATGATGTATACCTAAAATCAGAATCTTACTTTTGCCACCAGGCTTCCAGGGTATGTGACAGTAACAATACTCCATCCCTGTGGACGTGGACATTTGTGTGTGTACTAGAGACAAAGTGAGGAGGTGGAGAGGTATTTCTTTGTTCCTCAGTTTCACCTACCACTTGTGTTTCTTTCCTGCCATGTTGACCCAAACACGAGCCTTTTTTCTCAGTTCCCTTTCATCGAAATTTTAAAGAATGGTTTTACAACAGATGGCCAACTCATCTACTCAGATAGGGTTTTACAAAGGGCAATGTCTCGGTGGGGTGCACTCACCCTGGTTCAGGAACTGGGTCTCAGATTTATAGTGGATAAAGCCCTCAGAGACTCAATCATGTTAAAAATTCAAAACAACTCAGCAAATATTTATGCAGGGGTCTGTTGCTTTCCAGGGCCCTGGAATACAGATGTGAAAACCAGAATTGCTACCTTCCAGGAGCTCTTGGACTATGGAGGAAGACCAACATCCTAGTGGATGGCTACATTTCTGACTACCCAGCACTCAGTCATACTTCTAGTAATAGTCCCCCAAGTTCACCCTGGGGAGAACCCCTCCGTCATCCTCTGTCTGTGTGCTTTAAGTGGAACTGAATCTACTCCAGCTCTAGAGCTGGAGTATAGACTCAGGCCTGGCTGCAGTGATTGGTTTAGAGGTGGCCATGAAACCTAATCAAAGCCAATGGTATGCACGAGGTGTTTGCTGATACTGTTCGGGGAGAGGTACTAGATATTTTTTGCTAGGATTGCTACCAATAAGGATGATGTGAGCCTGAAGTTACCAGAAGCCACAAGAGAAAGCATAAGAATGAGGCCAACACAGCAAAAGACAGATCTGAATGAAAGAGAGAAACTGAGCTCTTTGTTCAGGCCATCTTGATGTTCCATATATTCCTAGACTTTTCTGTTAATTGTCCCAATAATTATTTTTATTTGTTTAAGCTAATTAGATGGGGTTTTCTGTAATTTGCAACTAAAATAGCTCTGTGTAGTGGGTTGAATAGTGTCCTTCAAAAATTCACATCCACGCAGAACTTCAGAATGTGAAGTTCTTATTTGAAAACAAGATCTTTGAAAATGTAATTAGTTAAGGACATTAGAATGAAATCATCATGGATATAGGGTGCACCCAAACTAATGACTGGTGTCCTTACAAGATGAGGAGAGGACAAAGAAACATACAGAGGAGAAAGCCATGTGAAGAGAGAGGCAGAGATTGGAGTTACGCTGCCAAAGGCCAAGAAACTCCTGGAGCCGCCGAAGCCGGGTTGCGGGCTGCCAATTTCTTGCACCCACATGTGGCAGACAGCAGAGCAGAGGAATCAAGCTGTCTTATGACTCTTCCAAGGGCACTAATCCCATTCATGAGAGCTTCACCTTTATGGCCACATCTAATGCTAATTACCTCACAAAAGCCCCACCTCCTAATATGATCACATTGAGGGGTATGTAGTTTTAGTTTCAAAATGTGAATTTTGGAGGACTCAAACACTCAATCCATAACAGGGCCCAACCTCATAAACTCATTTAAAACCTATTATCTCCCACAGGCTCCATCTCCAAATACCAACACACCGGGGGGTTAAGGCTTCAACACATGAATTTTGGGGGAACACAAACATTTAGTCCGTAGCATATGTTTTCTCTCTACCAGCCCACAGCCAAATTTCCTCTTCTTATAAGGACACTATCCCAATGACCTCATTTAACCTTAATTACCTCTGTAAAGGCCCTACCTCCAAAGACGGTCACATTCCGAGGTACTGAGAGCTAGGACTTCCACATAGGAATTTGAAAGGACGTAATTCAGCCCAAAACACTACTCTGAGCCTCACAGAATGAAGAGATTTTTCCAAGTCTGACATTACTAACCCCTCCCATGCCTGCAATACATTCAAGGACCCTCAGATTCATCGTGTCCACTACCCCCACCCTCACTCCCAGCAATTTATTCTTACAAAATGTCCAAACATATAGAAAAATTGGAAGAACAGTACAATGATCACCCATATGCCCACTACCTAGATTTAATAATTGTTGATATTTTGCCATTTTCGCTTTATCTATATATGTGCAGATATACATTCAAATTGTTTCTGCTAAAATTTTGAAAATGTTTTAGAAATCATATTTCACCTCTAAATACTTCAGTATGCACCTCCTAAAAATAACCAGTGCCATCATCATGCCTAAGAAAATTCACAGTAATTTCCTAATATCATCTAATTTCCAGTCCATATTTAGATTGCCCCAAGCATCCCCAAAATATATTTCATAACTCTTTTCTTACAGAACCAGAATCCAAACAAGGTTCACAAATTGTATTTGGTTGTTATGTCTCTTTTATTCCAGAATAGTCTCCCCCACCATTTATTATTGTTACATTGACTTTTTAAAGAAACTAGGTTAGTTGTTTTGTAGAATAACCCACATTCTTGATTTTTCTGATTGTTTCCTTGTGGTGCCGTTTAACTTGTTCCTCTATCCCTTTATTTCCTCTAAACTGGGCTTTTTCAACTGGTGTCCCTCATCTGAAGCACAAAACATGGAAATATTGAATGACTATTTATACTAAAACCACTCTGTATTCATAGGGGAGAAGTTAATTCATTACATACGAAGGATGCTGTGATGGTTAATTTTATGGGTCAACTTGACTGGGCCACAGGGTACCCAGACATTTGGTCAAACATTATTCTAGGTGTGTCTGTGAGGGTGTTTCCGGATGAGATGAACATTCAAATGCACGAACTGAGTAAAGCAGAGTGCTCTCCCTCGTGTGGGTGGGCCTCATCCAATCAGTTAAAGGCCTGAATAGAACAAAAAGCCTGACCCTCCAGCTAGTAAGAGGGAACTCATTGACTTGATTTCCTTGGAGTTCAGATATCATTTTTTTCCTGCCTTCAGACTTGAAATGAAACATCGGTTCTTCTTAGGTCTCGAACCTACTGGCTCTCAGACTACAACTTACACCATCAGCAATCCTGGGTCTTCAGCTTGCCAGCTGCAGATCTTGGGACTGCTCAGCCTCCATAATCACATGAGTCAGTTCTTTATAATAAATCTTGATACATATATATATATATGTCTATAAAGATTTATATATATACATAAAAGATTTATATATATATTTAAGAGTTATATATACAAAGGATTTATATATATGTAATATATATTTATATATTTTATATAATATATGTATTTTATATGTGTTTTTAATATACAATATTATAAATATTTATATATTATATAAAATATAAATATATAAAATACATTATGTTATATATATTATACATAACATAAAAATTTATAATATGAGATATATATAAATCTATATCTGTATCTATATCCTATTGTTTCTGTTTCTCTGGAGAATTCTGACTAACACAGATGCCTTAGGTCTTTCATGAGTGCTTGTTTCTTTCCCAGAACCCAGGTTGAGAAATTAGGGTGACTGAGTTAAGGTTAACCATGCGGGGCAAGAGCATTTCATGTGACATCAGGAACTCCGTAATGTGTTGTAGTTCCTCTATTAATGATGCTAAATTTGGTCACTTGATCACAGATTTTTATTTTATAGTTATTTTTCTCCCTTGTGATTAGCAAGTAATTCCTTGGGGTGTCATTTTGGCACCATGCAAATATCCTGTTTCTCAACTAGTTTTCACCTAGTGCTTTTGTGCTC